CTTTAGACTATAAATAAAAAAGAGGTGTCACTATGTGTTATGTAGGTTACAATATAATTGAAGAATATTGCATACAATTAAAGCAATAGTCTTTATGTGTATTACAACCTTAAAGTATGAACAGTGACAGTTCCTATGATATACAGGGGGTTTAAATACAGGAATCATTTCCCCGTCGCAAAGACAATCAAAAATTAGACTGATATCTAAACCCGGAAAAGATAAATGTATACTCTCTAACTGGTGACCTATTACATAAATTAATGTAGATGAAAAATCACAAGTAAAGTTCTTTCAATAAGATTAAAGCACTTTTTAAATTTATTAATACATCATAATGAGGCAGCTTTTATACCAGGACGCCATATACAGGAAAATATGCGTACTGTAGATGAATGCTTTAACCTGGCAAAATTTAACAAATAAAAAGGCTTCCTCTTAGCTATCTATTTAAAACAAAAGCTTTTGACAGTATTAGTCACGCGGTTTTGTTTGAAGTTCTGCCCTCTTTTCGGGTGGTGTGTGTGTGTGGAGAGGGGGGGGGGGGGTATCTGCTTTAATCTGGCAAAATTTAAATAAGATAAAAGGCTTCCTCTTAGTTATCTGTTAAAAAAACCTTTTGACTGTGTTAGTCACAATTCTTTTAACGTTCTATCCTCCCTTTGGACGTATACGTAATTTTAATACATATACTCGTATTCTTTATAATGATGCCAAATGTTGCGTGACTAATAACGATTTTACTACGCCATATATTACAATAGAAAGGGGGCTTCGTCAGGGCGATCCAAGCAGCACCAACTTATTTAATGTTGTAATTGAAACCCTGTGTAATTTATTAGAAACGAGTTTAAGAAGGATTGACAATTACTTTTTTTTTGAATAATGAATATTATATAAGACAAGACAATCATAGTTTTAGAAAGGGAGTTAACATAACTAATTGGGGTAAAAAGGTGATGAACTAATGTATAAAACGATCTTTCAGAGCAGTGACATAAATGTGACCGGGCGCATCTAAATGAGTCGGAATGCGCGAGAATCAATAATGAGATAAAGACAAAATAAGTGAAAATATTGATTTTGAACGAAATTGAGATTTTCACAAAAATGAGTCTATAAATATACTGTCTATCGACACAGAAGATCAAAATAGCAATAAAACATTTTAAAACACCTGTATTTGAACGTTTTGTAAGAGTACCATATTCTGAAATCTGTCCTATTTCTTAAAATTCTCAGCGAGTGAGTTATTTTTCTTCGCTCGCAGTGGGACGACCGATCATTCCTCTTGCATAACAATTGGCATCGTTGTAAAGCGGGGCATCCCTAGTTTATAGATATGATCAAAATATTGTCGATGAATTGATTTTGAACGGATATAATCGAGTTTTAAAACTCTTCAAAAATATAAATAAACTCCGCCTGTTGCCATGCTGTCCACACAACTCCTTTGCTGATTGGTCCAGACACCGCGTGCAAGACATTATCGATAAATATTTGGTTTTGGCAATGTTTTTGGGTACCTACATGCGATTCACTCTGATAAGTGGCAGAAAAAAAAATTAATTCTGATCGTATAGATTGCCGTTGAGTGTTAATCGAAACCACGTGGCTGATGATGTAAATTAATCGACAAGCGGGTGTGTGTCATTGAGTAATACTATTACTAATCAACTGTCACGGGTCAATGATAAAGCCGTCGACAACTCATTATTTACTCCGAATAATTAATCCAAGTGGTGATTGTTTGATATCTCATATCATCTTTAAAAAAAATAATCTATAGGCCTTAAATGGATATAATCAAAATGGCCAAAAATGATCTTTTCGAAGAGAATTTTATTGATAGCTGAATTCCGTTAACCGTCTCTTCTTCATACGGCATGCAAAGTAAGGAATGCATTTAGGATATTATTGTTTAAAATTATCTAATCACAATGGGTCGAAAAAATGAGAACGACCAACGAACCGAAATGGGACGATTCTCGAGTCTGCCATTGAGTATCCTCTGAATAATGTTGATATTTACATCAAAGCCAAAATGCACGAAAGTAATCGTAAACATTGACTATGAAATTGACATTTCTATAGGGACTCATATTTTGATAACGTCACGGTACCTGAAAATAATAATAGACCTATCGTACACGCAAAATCTTATTTTAATTCACGTGTTAAATGAACACGAGGGTAGCTGTTGCGGCTTCTTTGATGATTATCCAGTCAATAATCTTAATCTCCCGACCACTAGCTGGCACTAAGGTGCTAATTAATTGATGAGATTAACTGAGTTAATCTCACTGAAATAATATTATATACAACAGACTACTAATGTATAGATTGTTCTTCAGTATAACACTATCATGTGAATATTATGCCGTATGTGTTGTGGATGTTTCGTTACGAAAGGAGTGCATTTAATACGATTTTCGTCGTCAGCACCCTTGAAATCCTAAATAAAAAACATATTAAACGGCAAAATATAGCAAATAAATTGCGGAAATAGTCGGATCAAATTTTTACTACGATTTTCGTCTTCAGCACCCCTGAAAACCCATGGAAAGATATATTCAACGACAAAACAGCAGATAAATGGCCTGGTTGCTATGGGATTTTGTTTTGGAACTTACCAAATCTTTGACTTGCCTTTTCTCAAAACTTACTTTTGTGAGTTGGGTAGCTTCTGATGGACACAGCTCAGTCAATTTTTGCCCAATTCAAACAAACTATACATCAAATAACTCAATTTTCAAAATTTCCTCATTGTGACTCAGCATGCTGTGGGGGGTCACAAATATGTTTAAAGGGCATTATTGATTTGTACCTTTTAAGAAAAGAAAAAAATATGTTGTTTTTTTTTTGTATTTATTTTAAAGTATACTTAAATAATACTTCTTTTGTATAATGATTTTCAAATATAAACCGACATTACCGAATTGATCTAAATCGGATAATAAATTGTGACCTCTAGTGTGTTCGGAAGCTAAAAAACGTTATCTGTCGTACAATCAGGGACCACAATCCACGAAGTTCCGGTCCGATACATGCCAACATGTGGACCAACATGTTTTAAAGTATTATTGAGTCTATATTCATTTTGAAGTTTTTGTTTAGAATGTAGTACTAGTGGTTCTCTGACTTCAAAGTTGTTTTTCGTTTGGTGACCAAATCTATAGTTTAGGTTTATTCTTCAAAATATGAGACAATTGTTAGTCACAAATTTTCTCACGTTCTCAAGAATCATATCTGGTTTGATATTGCTGTTATGTCGGCACAACAAAATACACCCAATCACATTTGGTGCAGTTTCATAATCAAGAGATATGTTTATGACCACGAAAAGGGTAAATGACCATCCTGTTATTAACCTATAGGTCATGGTGGACAAGTTGGTAAGACGCTGGCTCGCTAGCCTCGAGGTCGCGTGTTCGATCCCTCTCATTTCGGGACTATCATATGGTTTTAATTTTATTTCAATAATTCGCTTGCGTGTTGGGGTCTTTAGCAGTGGGAGGAAACCGGAGGACCCGGAGAAAACCCCACGAGGGGAAAAATGTCTATTTATAACTGCGCTTTAATGGATCCGACCTCTGCAAAAAGTTTTTTTCCTGCTTTGGGAGTAAGCTAGATTATTTTCAAATTTATTCGTATATTTTGGCATAGCGGCAGGTATATATCCCAGGTCTATAGTTGTATTGAACACAATTTACCGCACATAGCCAATAAGAAGAAATTACGGACCATAAGAAGAAATTTCCGGCAATAAGTTTAATCTGTTAAAGGGGGGGGGGGGGCGGGTAACTTCATTTCTGGGATAAGACTTTGTTTCAGACCTCTAAATAAAAAAATCTAAATTAGCTTTTTTCATATTTTGGGTCTAATTTTCTATATTTTCCAATTTCTTCGTATATTTCTGCATGGCGCCAGGTATAAATTTCAGGTCTATATTTCTATTGACCATAATTTACCGCACATAGAAATAAATAGAAATTACGAACAATAAGAAGAAATTACAGCAATTGATTTAACGGGTTAAAGGGAGGTAACTCCATTTTAGGATTCAGACCTGGGTCTAGCTAGACCTCTGCAATTAGTTTTTTTTTCCTGTTTTGGGTCTAAACTTGGAACACTCAATAATTGTTTTGCTTTATTGTAAAAAAATCTTGTAAACATCCGTCTATACCTTTATTTTTTGCTAGGAATCCCGAGGAGCGGCCACCAGAATATAATACATATACGTAAACCCACTTACATGGACCAGTTTCGCAGTAAAACAACAATGTGGTATAGGAGAAGAGTGAATAGAAACAATTGTAGATTTCATTTACATTACTTCGAAACTGTTATTTAAATATCGAATGCAATCGGGTTTAACTCTTACTGTTCTGCCCCAAACGGGCCAATAGAAATTGTGTTCACCGCTATGCAACACTAACACTTAAAGGGACATTAGGTAAGATTAGATAAAAAGCTGACAGTTCTCGCTACAATCGTTAAAATATAGATAATGAAAGGAGAAAATGTTGAAAATTTCAGACAAATTTCTTCACTCTGAACCTAGATATTAGCGATTCAATTTTAAGCTAGCCTCATTACTACCGTTGTTACGATAATAAAGTCTCGATTATCCATTTTTACGGTTATTGCATGTATTCAAATCCAGTAAATATCGCAGGCTAACGATGGTATCGACGGTTGATTATGGTCTTGATAACTAATTAATAATTTAGATAACATTTAAGGCCTAATGCATGTTTAATTGGCAATGCATGGTTTACTGGTGATCGAATGAATTTAAATCGCCAAGAAGCCAACTATCAATGGAAAGGGCAAGGTAATATTTGCTGAAAGTCGAACTGCACTCCACCAATTGCCTAACTGTACCAAATACGATTGTGGTGAGTATAGATGGGTAAAACATTGAAAGGAATTTATGGGCGGACATGCGTGATGATATTTTCAACATTAAAAATGTTGGGGTACAAAAAAACGAACGGTTCTTGTAAGTAAGATTACTTTAATATAAAATCACATAAAATTCAAGATAGAAAATAGAAAAGATTACATAAAATATTATTTAAAAAGAACAATAAACGTTAAATAGAAAAGTACGACAAAATTGATACAATGTAGATTTGCAGTAACGGAAAACACACACGGTCGCGTATACAACGATAATCAATATTATATGGGATAATTTAGAAGAATATACCAATGGAATAACTTTCAGTGTTCCATGAACCGCTCTAGAGTGTGTATCAGACTAACGAACGTAGTGGTTTAGTTAGGTGGATTTGTGATCATGGGCCGGTTGCTCAAAGTTCCGATATCTTTTAACTATCCGTTAACATGGAGTTAACTTTAACTTTAACGGAGAGAAAGGTTGGTGCTGGAAGCCCCGTTAACTTTAACGTGTAGTTAACTTGGCGTTATATTTAACGGAGGTGTTGAGTTCCGTTATCTGTTTAATGATGGCATTAGTTGCTAAAATTTCTAAAGGCAAACATAAAGTATTCTATAGCTTTTTATAGAGTTTTCTGTAGTAAATTCTACAGTTATCTTTTTGTCCTTAATCACGTTTTGTGAACAGGCTGCACAGTAGTCTCACTGTCTTCAGTTTCTTGTTAATATCAACTTCTATGAAGTTGTTATACATGTACATTGAATTTAAAAAATTAAAATTCAAATCACAATTAATTATACTGGCATAGTCACTAATCATGGGTGATTTAGAAATCCTTCTTTTAATTGTTCAACACATCTGGCTTGCTTCCTTACAACTAGCACAACAATTCCAGGAAGTAAAAACAAACCTTAATTACATCTGATCTTTATTGAATTTAAACTGTTTGTGAACTGATAGATGGGCGCAATGAGTAAAGACATAATTCCAAAACAAAAATGGCTGATATGTTGATATAACCTGCAGAGAACCATATTTACTTGAGCAGTTAAAAAATATCCGATTTAAAATCATCATGAATTCTGAACAATCAATCGTATAGAGGATGTTAACGGATCATACGCATATAACAGACAACATACTAAATATATAATTAAGAGAATGTAACAAAAATACAAGAATAGAAACAGACTGTAGACAATATTATACAATGACATTGCAGACAGCGACAAAAAGAGAAGCGGCCAAAAGTAGGGATGTGTAAATTATGGACATAGCCCCGCATGCTTCAGGTGATAGTTTGGTAACTATTTTACGGTCCTTTTCTATGGAGACTGCTCTACACGTCGGTGTCACTGGTGGTTTGTTTACACAGGTCAAATAATATTCCGCCTGCCTGTAAATAATAAAAAAAATATTTGAAATCTACGTGTAATTTATACCTATGCCATCTTTCATTTCACTTTTAATTTCAATTATTGACAGCGCGCACAAAGTATTACTTTTCGGAGACTATCCGCTATCGTCGGGTCACAACCCCCAAATCCGTGACCATTTCTCGGGGAACAAGGTTTGACGATGGTTTCTGATAGAACGGACCCTAGTGAAGATATTTGTAATTTTCTACCTCTGAAATCTACATGCTTACTCCAGGAGAGCCTAAAATCCACAATGACGACCAAAATTGATCAGAAATTTACATTTACAAACGTTGATTTTAGTGGTCACCAGAACCATTTTGGACAATTTCCGGTTCATCTCACTAATGGTTGATCCAATATGGCTGTCAAAATCGAAAATGGCGACAGAAATTGGCCCGAAATCTATTCCTTCAATAGCACCATGCACGTGTGATATATCATTTCCGGGGTTGTGGGGGCGAGAAGCATGAGTATGTCATTTCCAAGCTGATAGAATTAATATGAAAGGAAAGACCTACACATGTAATAATAACCATAATTTGTTCCAGATATCAATGAATATTTTTCTTCATATATTGCAGCTATCATAAATTATAATGGAATATATAACAACGTATTCCGCAGAATACATGCATCAAGAGTTATCACTGAGACATAGGGCGGGTTTGGTGGCCGAATGGTTAGAGCGTACGCGTTGTATCATAAGGTTGACCATTGAGCCAACTGGCGTGGTTTGCAATCCCCGGTTGTACGTGACAAGGAGTAGGGTCGCCTGTTGGGTTTTCTCCGGCTCCTCCCACTGCTAAAGACCCCTACGCGCAATCGAATTATTGAAATAAAATTGAAACATATGTTAGTCCCGAAATGACCTAGTTTGTGTCGAGTGGACATTAAACCCCATTTCTCTCTCTCTGTCTGAGACATAGGGCATCGGGAGTGTATCATATATATACTATCCAGTCATGCCCAAGAGACCAGTGTAGATTCTGGAGTTTGTAATGCTGCACAATGTAGGATTGATAGTTTGACATTTGCCATAAACTACCACGATCTTGTGGTAAACGCTTTATATACAATATAAATCGCATGCTTCCATGTCACTGAATAGGTTTTTTTTTCTCCAATATTAGTGGTGGCTCCCAAATTTGGGCATTTATAAATGAAAAAGTTAATTTCGTTTCGTTTTTTATACTTTCGATGGCCTTTACTACATGCAGATCTGACCAGTTGAAATGCGCTGATCATTGTAATAGGGGGTCACGTCAGAGGTCATACGAGCGCGGCTTGACCTATGACGTCAGACATTGATTAATCAATCAACGTTGACGTTTCTATTGGTTTACTCACAGTTCCGTGCATAGCACACCAAGAACTCGCCGTAACAAGGTCCGTTGCATTGGCTAATTCCTCACATCAACTAGAACGCCTGTTTTATAACAACTCTTGCAGGTCCTAGTGTAGTAAAGACAAGTGAAACGAAATTTTGAACTATAAAATCGAAACGAAATAGGATCTGTGTTTTAATTAGATTGGATAAATAGTGGTATGAACGTTACTTATAGCTTGCGGTTGTTGAGATTTGGTCCAATGGAATTGCTCGATCCCAGTTTTTGGTGAAGCAAAAGCAAATTTTGCCCTCTCGTGAACCCTTTAATGGGTTTCAACAAAATTTGGTAGGTATGTTGCTTGAGTAGTGCTTGTCCTGATTCGTTCATGCCCAGGCATCCATTTCATGGGGAATCCAATTAATAAAGGGTGAAATTGAAATTAAGTTTATTTTATAAAAAGAAGCGAATTTTCTATATAAAATATATCTTCTCTTTGACCCTTAAATGTGTTGGGAGTTCAGTGCCTATATCCTTTTAAAAGTCCATGAATGCCACAATTCTGATACGCTAAAAAACCCTATTCGGTGGCTTGGAAACATACAATTTGTAGTGTGTACTATGAATACACCACTAGATGGCGATAGTTTTATGCAAATCGTCAAAAGAGCTAACTATCAACCCTAGATTATATTCCAGAATCCAACATCCCCTCTTTGGAATGGCTGTAAGTAGTGAATAGGACGTGTTGGTCTATATGATACACATCCGATGTGCTTAGTTTTTAAAACAACTTCTTAGTCGATACCTCCCAAAATAACAATAGATGACTCAACAAAATACTCAGAATCATTGGCATAGTCCAGGGGTGGAAGTCCATCGCCACCACGTCTATGTTACTCCCCGGTCCGAGCTACTCCTATACACCAACCTGAACAGACAGGCAGGCAGACAAACAAACAAATATTAGTATAGATTGGAATATAATGTTATTATGATAACAGAAACATATACAGGATGAGATTCATGGATATCTGGAACAATTTATGATTGTTATTATAACACGTGTAGGTCTGTAGACCGCTTAATTTTAGTATGATACCTCATTTCAAATTAGTTTTATCAGCTTGGAAATGGCATATTCGCGTTTCTCGTCTCCACAACCCCTGGAAAGACATATATCACTCGTCTTATGTTGCTTTGGTATTAAAAGAATACTTTTCGAGCCAATTTATGTTGCCATTTTGGCGGTCACATTGGATCAACCCTTTGTGAAGTGAATCTGAAACTGTCCAAAACGAATCGAGTGACCACAAAAACCTATAAATGATATACTAGACGGGTCATTTCGTCAACACTGTTGGCCAAGGGTCAATTTCAGGCAGTTTTGGGCCATTTGGCCGCCATCTTGGATTTTCGGCTCCCCTGAAGTTAACCTTCTATCAGAAACCATCGTTAAACCCTGTTCCACGAGAAATTGTCGCGGATCTGGGGTTGTGACCCGAGTACTATGTACACGGTCCTTTAAGGCACTATTACAATGACACAATAATAATTGAATTAAAACTAATATCACTGATGCCAGATCAGAGTGAACAGTCAAATATTTAATGTACACGAATACCAAATGATAAATAAGTGTAATATCGAGTAGGGTGACTATATGGTATGACCTCGCCTGGCTTTAGACGCCTCGCCCTCTTACCAGCTCGTATGTTTGAAGACAATGGTAAAACAAACGACATGGGGAGTGCTATCAGATGCTAGAGAATTTAGTAATCCGTCCTGTCCCACGCAAGATATCAATCGACCACTTATACCTACATGGGCAGTAGATAGCCAGTTTGAAGTCGTGGATATATTCTGTTTGAGAATTTCATAATTTTTTTTTTTACTAAGCGTCTCTCGCATCACAGCAGAGACTTAAGATTACTCACATGTGTAACTTCTCTATGCACGAGATGCCCCATAGTTGAGGTAATAGTAGTAATACTATTTAGATTCGCGTATTTGAGAAACAATATCATTGACATCCCCCCCTTGTCAGTGATGCAGGACGGAGGGCCTGACAAAGACAGTTGTCTAGTCCTTCGGATAGGAGGAACAACCGAGGTCCCGTGTACACATTGGCATGCACGTAAAAGATCCCTTGACAGTTGGAATTCGATATAAGAGTAGGCCATAGTGCCGCTGTCCGAGCAAAATTTCCCTCATAGCCCTATGTATGGCGTATGCCCGTCTCCGTTAGCCCGGTGCGAAGTAGGACGTTAAACCGCATCACATTTCATTTGATTGACATTCCACTATGTTTATTATAATAGTCACTTACTTGCACATCTGACTCTTTTTGAGGTCGTAAGTGTCGCTGGTGTATGGCCCTTGTGGATCGAGGCCGTCAGCAGTCAATGAACTGACTAAACAATTTCTTACGTATTGTCCAACACAGGTTCTATTGGCTGAAAAGTTTTAACATCAGAATAAAGATAAGTGAACCAGATAGAAGCCCAATAATCCATTTAAAAATTGAACACGTCGATGTAATCTGAACAATTTTGAAATGGTTATTGATTCACTCAGCGACCCCGCCTTTCGCTATTACTGAGAATTAGTTAAAGATCTCAGATCGCCAGATAGTTAACACCACATTGTTACCAGAGTGCTGATGTAATAAAGGGGTGCTACCCTTTATATGGAACAAATGTACTTTTTCTATCTATCTAAATGGTATTATCACTCCCATAAATTCTATTACGTATCTATATAAATACAAGGTTTGCGAGTTGTTTGAAGATATTATTTTATTAACTTCTGTGGCACAGGATAGTGTTCCACTGACGAGTTGGAAACCTGTGTCTAGTATAATGCCACATCTCCAATTTGGTCCCACGAATCAGGATAGTCTTAGATCGGTCATTTTGTGTATGTACTGTATTTCACAAGTTATACAAATCTGTCAGTCAATTCTTACCAATACAAAATTTGCACTATTTCTCCGAATCAACCCAGAACATAACTAATGTCGTTAAATCACTGCTAATTAAAATATGAACCCAGAACTGACTTCTAGCATAAATAATGTCATTTGCCTTGTCAATGCTAATCAACATATGAATATATGTTGCTGATCAAGTTCAACTTACTAGGTCCGTCACTACAGAGTAGATCATATGCTGCTTTATAATTACTTGAAGTAGCTACCAATTTCTTCTCGTTATCCGATATACATCTTCTAAGTAGGTCAATAAAACAACCCACGGCATTCTTAAAGCTGTCTTTCGATGAACTGAAATTTATTAATCATAGGATTTGCAATAATACAGCAGATGTAATAAGGAGTTTGCGCTTTGGAAGTGTTGGGCTATATAATAGCATCGTGTGTGTTTAAATTAGTAATTTAAACGAATAAACGCTTTATGAAAAACTGCTATGAATAATATTCTCCCGATAGGGTGACTGCAAATTGGTAATTCAATCCCCTTGTGATCGCCAATAATGCGCAATCGTTAAAGTGTTTTTCTATCGGACCATTCCCCGGATTCTGGTTATTCTAAATCAATAGTTTACCATTCCTTGTTGAAAAAAAACCCAAGACAATTACTTTCAGTTTCAGTTTCTAAAATATGAAAAATACGATAGCGAGTCCTAATGCTATTGGTTAATAGAATATGCATCCAAGCACTTATTCAAAAATTGTATGTACCAACGTCCCGCGTTCCCCCTTAAAAGCTCTTATATTTGCACAAGTAGGTGGAACGCATTGTACTTCAACATTTGAAACTTAACAGGCCTATTTGACTGTAGAAAATATCCTCTCAACACTGGATGGTGGATTAGGCGTGGAAGGACAGCATTTTACTCCACACAAATCGAAAAAGAAACTAATGCAGCTTGGTTCGATGATACATATATCAAACAATATCATACCCAAATTCGGCCCGGCGAAATATCGAAATTTTCTCAGAGCGATATCCCGTAACTAGTACGTTTAAGATCCCATAAAATGATGTATAAATTTATAATGACGTTATTTTGGTGTCATATTCCAATTATGACGTCAGTTCATTGCTTTTCCTCAAAGGACACGTGCCCTATTTGTAAGGAAACTCTTGTGAATGGTAGAAAAGCTGTTAACCTGTTACATTGCAGGCTGCTGGGGCAGATACTGTGAACGAAGTCAGTTTCAATCGAGGGCTTAACATCAATGTGACATCTGGGACTGTTGTGGGTGAACGATGTAGATGTTATTTTACCGTCGCTAATAACTTGATTAATGAGGAGGAACAAAAAACAATCACAGACTAATGCAAAGAGATGGAAGAGTTGTGTCAAACACAGTACAGTAACTATATAAAACGTTCAGGGAAAGGTAAATGAAGCAGCAGCCTCAAATTTACAGACCTATCACGAAAACTCCAAGAATTCGAGTGACCTAGAGGAAGAAAAGGATCGAAGCCCTCATCAAAAGTGAGATGATTGATAAGTACAAATCGTTTTCTAAAGACTTTAATCCCGATCTAAATGAACTGAAGTCTGTGGACGGCATGTTGCATTTCTTGCTAGATATTTTCTGAGAGAGAGAGAGGGATGGGGTTTAACGTCCACTCGACACAAACTAGGTAATTTCCGTACTAACATATGGTTCAATTTTATACAACCAGTGAATCTAAACCACGCCAGTTGACTCAATGACAGACCTTGTGATACAACGTCGTCCGCTAACCATTCGGCCTTCCCAACCCCCAGATTCTCTGAAGCTCCTTGTTGGAAAGTCAACAGGATTGAAAATGGCTACGATAGGGCAGTCTTTAGTGCAGGTTGCAAGACCAGGGGCGCTGTTGGCTCCTTTGCAATTGGGGTTAGCGGTTCAGCTACACCACACGTTCGGTTCAAAATTCCCCGTCATTACGTTACATGACCAAGGATTGTGTTCGTCGTATGCTGAAATCATGCACAGCGGCATAAACACCAATAGCAGCTGGTATTAGGATAAATCGGTTTGTTAAGGGCGCTCAATTTTCGTCAAAATCACTGAGATATCAATAAGGTTAGGGCCCGTGATTTTTGGTGAGATTGTGCGCTAGGGAAACCATTAGGGCTAGGTCCAGGGTTAGGGTAGGGATTAGCGCTATAGCCTTGTTTACATCTCGTGACCTTTGAACAAACTTGAAGTTGAGCCTATGAAATAAATGTTATCCAATGGTCATTTTCGCCAATACGTGTGTGATAATACCGACAGGAATCCATGGATCTTAGATGGTACAACTTCTCTACATACTATGGGGATGATGGAGGTGATTATTCCTTCTTTTCGGTCCAAGGTGCTGATTCGTAGAGATGAACAAAATGTTATCAGGTCTGCAGTCGATGTATTCCGCTACGACATTCCAAGCAAAAATAAGCTCATGCTGTACTGCGAACTATCAACGTGGAGAACCAAGTAACAAAACTGATCCTTAAACCCGAATGCACCGGGATAGTCAGGTGTGATGCAACCCGTCAGTGGAGGAACTCATGCCAGAAATGCAACTGCAAGGTTTCTACCAATGACAGACTTTAATCTCACGAATATGCGACGTGCAATTATACTCGACCTTATCATCCATCACTCTCGAGTTTAAATATCACAACTGCACACCTGTTATTACATTTGACCAACCTTAATGACTGAAAGCGAGGACATAAGTTTGTAAAGAACCTGACAGCAGCGAACTAAAACAAGTCATTTTGGACTTCGGTGGCTTTCATACGATGATGAGCTACTTTGGTTTCGGACATTTTCTGAAAAATACCGGTCTTCACGAAGACCTTGAAGTGATATAATATGGTGAAAATGCTGTTACCTATATTCTGAACGGGAAATCATATGCTCGTGTGCTTCTCGAGGACAATTTCTGGTCGAGTCAGTTCTTACTCGGCTACTCATTCATGAAATTTACGATTCACTCTCATCATGAAACTTACGATTCACTCTTGTCAAGCGACGATCAACAGCCGATGATGAAAAAAACTCGTCTCGACTCCGATTTACAAGTACCGGTGAAATTGTTTGATCAAATGGTGGACAATGATATTTCATCCTGTACCGTACTTGACAATTAAGTTATGTCTAGAATAGCATAAGGACTGGAGAAAACCAAGAGAGATTTGGCTACTTCTGAACTTTGGCTTCAGTACATGACAATGGCGGGCATACTACGCGACTTTATTCTATTCGCTCAAAGAGGACAGTGATTACAATCACTACGCAAAGAGTGTTCAAATATATCTGCATGAACTGGAAGAACTCGAAGCTACGATTCCCCGTATGTACGAAATGTTTAGTGTTGGCCTTTTCGTAATCCACAGGAGTGACCGGTATTGGCCTGGTTTATCGAAAGGCCGTTATTGAACAGACGACCAAGAGAGTAATGAAAGTAAATGGCGGACTGGTTCATGGTCGAGGGGTGGTGAACGAAAACCCAAATGTTGTTGTCTGTGTGCGCGACATACAATGAATACATTCAAGAACTGTGCAATCGCAGTTTCTCTACCAGCGAACAGCACAAGAGCTCGCTTCCGCAAGAGTGAAACGTAATAAATAACAAAGACACAATGAATGGTTTCAATTTTTTGTATGAGAACAATCCCCTTGCACGAACAAAGGACCTGCGTAGCATTACTAGTGGTCTCACAGCAGGTCACACCGTTAACGTGCACAGGTGGGAGAGAATATTTTCGAGAAGATGTACGGTACAGATACGTTCCAGTATTCATTTTCCAGAAAGGATACTGCTGTGCAACTCGGCCAAGATAAACAGGTCCGCATCGGTGATGAAGAATGTAGTATCGACCTACAACTGTCGGGAATGCTCACACAGATGAACACCATATAGATCACCTTCTGCAATATGAATGGTCAGATTATCCGACGGCATTATTCAACGACTGTGGAATGATGAGGAAAGCAATAAAATCACAGCTGGTGGATATCACATGACTAATGTACCCAAGCTTTGAACAAACAAACACAGAAGCGACATTTATCGTGTCTGATCTCCATCGAATCCAATGGAAAAGGGGGGGGGGTCGTTTGATAGTACAGTATATGTAAGCGCTACCTCGAATGTTTGACACAAAATGTCCAGTCCAGTTGTTTTCTTCGATAAGTACGGGAATGGACCTTTGACCAAAGACTGTGCTCATCAAAGTAGAGCTAGTGGTATAGTTGGTTACAAAACCGACGAATCAGAGGTTCCTTTGCAATGAAACAAACAAAAACAATTTCATATTTCTGAAACATCTCGAATCAAAGACAAGAAGCGCAAGTGGAGATACAGATCGTCTGGTTTCCCAGACAGGTGTTGATTTGAGCGCTGTCGGTCCTACTGTTGTCATTGGCTAGTTATACTGTGTCGCAAATCGATAGCGGGACGGTTGTTCTTGCGAACAGGAAGGAGAAACGCCAGACATAAACTGTGGGGCATTTAACATTTATGCGAGGCTTTTGGTGAAAATATTTGTTGAAGGCTACCCTTCATCCGCACAGTTACTGGATGTGATACTACATCTCGTTTGTTGGGCATCAGTAGAGCAATATTTGGGGAACGAGCGATTGTTGTGCTGAAACATGTTCAGACCAGAGTCAAATTGTTGAAGCTTGTGAAAAAGCTCTGGTCAGTCTTTAAGGGGGCAAACCCAATTAGGGTCTGGACACATTGCGACTGCGAAAGTTCAAGGTGAAAGCGGTGACAGGCAATTTCGTTGATGAAATAAGGCTTTGTCCAGGACGTCTGATTCTGCAAAATGTCATTTCTTACGCGTATTTTTGCAAGTACATGTACGATGCTAGATGGGGGACGATAATATAGACTGAGTCCCACGGACTGGGTTTTGGAATTACGCGGCGAAACTCTATGGCCACGCAGCATCTACTAAAAGTAGTTCGCTGTACATGTAAGGTGGAGTGCGTCGATATGTATGGAGCCGAATCATTGGCATATTAAGAGGAAATATAATAGTTAAAACTGACAAATTATCATAGTCAAAATTGTAAAAATGGCCATTTTCGAGATTTCCTACTTGCAAATATCACATAACACAGAATGATTATTGATTATATTAGTATTAAAAGAAACCAAAGGATCTAGTTATGATTTTTCATTTTTCACTTTCTACTTTTCGCCTTTGCAAATTCACTGTAACTTTTTCATCTTTGCATCCTCTATCACCAAAATTTCTTCACACGAACGGATAGGGGACGTGGTTCCGGGTTCAGCCGAAGTTGGCGTCATAAGACGAGAGTATTTATCGTTTCTGCTAAAATTACTACTCCATTGGGTTATTCATAACTCTTTAAGAATTGTCCAATTTTATTTATTATTTTTGGAGAAAAAAATGAAATAAGCTCGTTGTCATGTCAGACAACTTTTTGTTTCATTAGTTATATCATCGAACCTTGAGGTTGTCTCATTGTCTTAATAGATCGGATAATCTTTGACAGCACATCGGCATGGATGTGAGCGAATTGCTAGCGTTATATCCGAAAGGGGTGTCTGGCTGCCTTAATCAATTAAGAAAAGTTTTGCAGTTATTAGACGATGTAATAAATTGTAAACAAGACAATTAGAACATGTAGAGAGTATCATGTTTCGTCAAGAAGAGTTGATCCCCCAAAGTTATTTATTTCATAAGAACAATATTTAGTTGTTAAAGATATGTAATTTGTGGAAAAAAATATATCCTTGAAAAGAGATACGAAATCTTGTTATCACTGGGCGGGTTTCCTAGAATATTTTGATTTACCTTTCCAATCGATCATGATAGGGTACGGTAGTTGTGACTGCAACACATGCAGAAGAGCCTATATAAACCTGTCCACTGTCAATATTAAAGTCTAATGGATTATTTAGTTGTCATCAAACATGAAAGTAAAGACATAAATTATTTGCTCTTTTCACATTGACTGGGGTTAAATAATGCGAAACTAGAAACAAAAGTTATATTAATTAAAATACAACTAGAAACAAAAGTTATATGAATAAAAATACAAGTCGGGCCTAATTAGGCCTATATATGCCTCTCCGACAAGACTCAAGAGTTAAAAAAAACCTATGTTATTGACAGTCGGGTGGTATCATGTTAGTAATAGTTATTGAATTTTAATCATTAGCATTAAAATTTGATACTTTTGCAAAGCGGATTTTTTTAAAACAAGTATCCGGTAGCCAATATAGAGGCCTAATAAGTTTTATGTCGTCTTCAATAACAGGTAGGTAGGCCTACAGCGCATCCATTCACTTGATTTGATATGTTTATTGCTTATTGTTTGAAATATATGTGTAGCACATATTGTGTGTCGTGTCCACGGGTTTGTATTGTGTAATTATTTATGTGTGATGTTATCCTCCTGCTCTTACTAGTCACCCGGCTAACCGAAGAACTCCGAATACATTAGCTGCTTATATCAACGTCGATTTATGACACCGGGTACAATTTTATGGATACAAAAATTACTGAATTTAATACTAAGCGACGTTTCGATGAGGATGCTCTCGTCTTTATCAAGCAAATGATACAGGTTTGTAAATAGTAGGTAAATATATACAGAATATGCAACAAAATAACAATCAAATACAATTCAAACTTAACATCTTTGATTGGAGGGGGGGGGCAACTAAGCCTACACAACGGAAACTCTTAAAATGACCATTTTTACCACTCTGACTCTAATAATTTTGCAATTTTAACCATGATATTTTCTCTTTTTTTAAAATGGCAACGATTCGGCTCCATAGATATGGACTAGAATGTACGAATGTATGTGCAAATTGCCAGAGAGAGGCATCTGCGAAATCCCCCTGTGGTACTAGATGAAGAAGAGACAGTTTGGATGGACTGGACTTGCTGTAATAAACTAATTTCTGATTTTTACCGTACATCAATTCTCTTTATTTACACCTCTTTTATTGTCGACATGAATAAGTTGATGACGTCACGGTGGCATTGCGGTGTCAAGATGAGATCGTGTTGAATTATGTTAATATGGCATTTAGCCTTGGCCGAATTTGGGTATAATGTTGTCTGATGTATGATCGAACCCAACTTCATTAGTTGTTTTTATTTTTTTTAAATTTTTGGGGGGTCACTCCACTTTCCGAGTTTATTTGCTCCGACTAATTTTGCAATTCCTTTACGTGGATAATGTTTATTTTTCAGTTCGATAGTAAAATAAAGTCTTGCATTCAATCAATTCGACCTTGACGCATAACGCGGCTATGTATTCGCACTACCTCGGTAAATCTCATAGCAGGATATATGATTCATGATGCCCACTTAATATTCAATATCCTATGATGCACCATGGTTCCAATTGAAAACCATCTTGAAATGCATCGAGGTTTCCATGAGGTGCATTTATATTATATAGACGTTTAGCTCGTTATATGATAAATGAGCAAAGAAAGTGAAGGATGTATTGTGAGCAATGGCCAAGACATTGTGCCAAACGGATCAAAATGACTGAAACGGAGTTTAACCCTAAAGAAACTGTCATACGCCATGCAATGTGTGTCTCTGTGTGTGTAGGGGGGGGGGAATTAAGTGCACACCATCTCAATTTTTCGTCCCATCAGGATAACTAAAAGTTGTTCATTACCAGGCCCTCCTTCCTACACGATTACTCAATAAGCCAACAAGGTTTCAAATCATTAAAACTGAAATATTTCTAATTTTGATTAATAAATACCCGCATATAACAGTTGTGTCTTTAAGGAATAATTGTTGTACATCTGACAGTGATCGCACATCAGAACGTATTGGCAAACCATTTTCTGTATAACATTGGTCAATTTTGGAATTAAAGTCTCCACAAGAACTGGTATCAAATTGTCCATTAACAGCATAACCTGATAAGACAAAACATAAATTAATCTAAATCATTATTATTACATCAGTTTTAACCTGACATCCCAGGTCTAAATGTTAACCTTAAATGCGCAAATCCTGGTTTAGAATTAAAATGGCGAGACTAACAAACATAAGCACTCAAAATTTGCATCTCGGGGCAGACAGTAAATATCAACTTGTCATTTCCGGAAGCCGAATGAATATAAACCTGTGGCTAACGCTGATTAAATTAGAACATAAATTACTATAGATGGTTCACGAGAAGATGTATATTATGGACGAGTGAGACACTATTCGTTACATGTATGGGTATAGTAGAGGGATGAATCACAAAAAAAGAAATTTAAATATCATTACATGTTAAAAACCTGCATCCAGGTGATGTGTTATATTATGTTCAATCGCTAAATGCCATTCAAAGATTATATCAGACATCAGTATGGAGATGTGGCAGTTAAATTAATAAATCAGATAGGAAAATGTGAGGTGAAGTATGAGATGTAGATACAACCAAGTAATACCTAAAGGTTTAATTATCAAATCACCGGTTAATTCACCAGCTGCTACCAAAATCCTCTTGACTGCAAGCAAAAATCTGATCCGAGAACGAATCCAGCACCATCGGAATGAAAAACACCGTCTATTTAACAGATCTCAAAAACTAAGAGAACAAATCAAAAGCAAGTTATCCCACCGGGACTACACCTTGTTACATGAGATACAGACCAAACACAACAGCCAACTAGACATCATTAAGAAGAAACAAATTAAAAAATTTGAAAGCCCGAAACCCGTGTAATACCAAAAGACCAATAATAGCAAAACCAAGACTGAATACCTAACCAAAACCGTGATTAATTTAAGTGATAAAGCATTAACAGATGACCAGATCAATCTACAGTTTGTTCCAAGTCGCAAACCAAACTATGACATCTACATTACAAACATTGAAAGAGGTCTTCGTCAGTCAGCACCTGGTGGCAATGTTGATTATTTACGACACCAAATCACCCACCTACTTGCCAAGAACCAACAACAACATAGTAACCTAAGTAAGAAAGAACAACAAGCCCTAAAAGAACTGAAAACAGATCGGTCTACTACTATAGTTCCCTCCGATAAAGGTAAAGCTACAGTCATCTTGAACACCCCAGAGGACCAAACTATGGTTTCCAACCTCCTAAACGACACCATCCGCAAGGACCCTACAGAAGCCTATTTGAAGAAACATGAAGAACTCCTTAAAAAATTAAAAGAACAAAACCAAATTAAAGCTGATGTATATTACCAGTGGAGACCTAACCACCCACGACCACCATATGCAAGAGCAACAATTAAAATCCATAAGAATCCCATGACAGCGCGTTTACTAATATGTTCTAAAGACTCAGTATATTATAATACCGCAAAATACTTGTCAAAACTACTGTCACCATTAGGGAAATCATCTTCTTCGTTTATCAAAGATTCAAGTTATCTGTGTCAAAACCTGGCCAAATGATATCCTATGATGTAGTTGATTTATTCACTAATGTACCACGGAAAGAAGCCTTTGAAACTATACGGAATCAAATATAACGACTGGACTCTCCAATTCACCCCACCCTCACAACTGAAACAATCATACTTCTTATTGAAGAATGTATTAATTCCACATATTTTATTTGGGGAGATGACTTCTACCAACAGTTATATGGTCTACCCATGGGCAGCCCCTTATCCCCCTTAATAAGTGAAATTTACCTGTCAGCTTTCGAAGAAAGAGCATTAGAATCCTCCCTTATCAAACCTCAATGTTGGTACAGAAAAGTTGACGATACGTTCGTTGTGATCAATGAAGATGACGACCCTGCAGTCCTCCTACAACACCTCAACAGCCAGCATCAAAGAATCCAATTCATGATGGAAACAGAAGAAAAGCACAGCCTCCCGTTTCTGGATATAAACATTACTAACGACGGTGGTAATCTAAAGACATTCGTGTTCCGGAAACCGACATACACCGACCAATATATTCATTTCAAATCGAACCAACCCACCAGTAACCAAATATCTCCTATTTCCACTCTAACTAGACGTGCAATTAATATCTGTCATGAAGAAAACTTACCAGCTGAAATCCAACATCTTAAAACTGTTTTTACCACCCTGAACGGATACCCTGAACAACTTGTTACCAACGTTATCAATAAAACCCTACACGAACAGAATAAACCAAATAAGCCAAAACCAGATCAATCACCAATAAGAGTATTTATTCCATGGTAAACTAACATACCAAATCCAACGTTTACTTAAACACCAAACTGGAATAGAAACCATATTTACCAAAATTGAAACGATTAAAGATCACCTGCGGGCGTATGGCAAACTGAATCCCGCCGTTCCTGTTCCACCAAAAGGTTGCGTTTACAAAATAGATTGTTCATGTGGACAGACATATGTCGGCGAAACGAAGAGACATCTAAATGTAAGATTGGCTTAACACAAATCTAAAGCTGTCACGAATAAATCAGCCGTAGCGGCACGCCTTAAGGTAACAGACAACACAGCATAAATTGGTCAGATGTAAAAATTCTAGAGAGAAATCAAGAAAATAAGACGGATACTAGAAGCTATCCACATAAAGAAACCCCGGCCTGAGCTCAACCTAGATGTTGGTATCTACCTACCCACAGCTTATGACTCTTTAATTTTAAGTAATAATTAATGCCTGAACTGTTTAACATCATAAGATAAACTATCTTTTAGTCTTATATAATTTCAAAAGTTTCCAAATAATCAATTATGTGTATACAATGTAACAAGATCCATCATTTATCTTTATGTACATTATGTAATACCATTTGGTTTAAACATATTTTATTACCACAAAGTAAATGGATCGGACAAAAGTTACATAAACTTACAAAAACATCCTTTCCTTTATAAGTACATGAAATTATTCAAGATAACACGCGGTGCAAAATAAGAAGAGAATTAAGACGGTGCTGGGGAATAAATCTGATGATTGACCATCTGAGAATTATTCCAATGATTCCAAGGATCTTGGAATTATAACCCCATTTGCAACTATCTTACAGGAGAAAATATCGAAAGGTTGCAAGAGCTGTTGGTACGAAGTTATTTCAAGCTTAAAGGTGTATTTCCAAATAGTAACTTAGGATAAGGACCACTCTTAAACCACTGGCGAATGTTCGTTTACACCTCACTATAGAATCTATATGTTATTGGAAGTACACCTTTAAAATGTTGACCCAAATCAGGTTTTAAACAAATTTTACAGTTTATTTCGAATATAAAGAGATGTAATAATTAAATAACATTGTCAAATCTTTTTGTATCTTTAAGGTATTTATGTATGTTTTGAATGAGTCGATAATTTTGAGAATTACTTAAGTTTTCATCACCCCATAATAATGTACTAATATTAATGTTAATATGATCTCGCGTGTTGCTTACCAAATTGTGGCGCTGTATCTTGTAATTTGGACAGTCCGGGAAATAATGCTGTGCATTTTCAATGGTATGGCCGCATTGGCAATTTTGATTTTGGACCAGGTTAGCTCGGTATGGATCAGATTTCAGTGTACTGCAGTTATGGCGTAGTTTTGTATGGATTATCACATATTTACGTTCCCCTGTACATAGGAAGTCTGAAATAGTTTTTGCGTTGGGTTTAGGTTTGATATTACGTTTAAAAATTGTCTTATTTCTCGATGTTTTAGTAGTAGTGTTCAGACGATTCCAGGCTTTGATGGTAGAGGGAGGGGAAGAAGGATTTTTGGAATGTTGTGGTTGTAGCAAGTGGTGGTTTTAGGTTTAGAGGGTTTCCTAGTGAGTATGTAGTATTACGAGGTTGATAATTGTTTACGATTTCAGATAAGTACGTAGGACATTGGTTGTTGTGAATTTCGTATAGAGTTGTGAGTTTCCTTAGATGTCTCCTTTCGATCAAGCTTTCCCATCCTGTTTCGAGATAAGGCGATTGTTTGCTTGCATATTACGGTAAACCGGTAACAATGCGGGCAGCTTCTAATTGGATTTTTCTAGTTTGGCGCAGTCGGAGTCATTACACCCATCCCAAACTTGGCAAAAGTATTCCAGGTTAGGTCTTATGTATGTTTTATAGATTATGTTTAGTGAGTTTTTATTTAATGAATATTTCAGCTTTCGTAGAATACAAAGCCTTTGGATACCGAAGAACATATAGTATCAATGTGTTTTGACCACCTGAAGTCACTTGATAGTATAACACCGAGGTGTTTATGTGTGGGGACTATTTCTAATTCTGTGTCACCGAGTTTTAAGTTTGGTAGAATTAAAATTAATTAACCATTTTTGCGACCAAATATTTAGGGCATTTAAATCATGGTTTAGAGATAATTCTATATCATTAACCGTTTTTCCATTGCAGTCTAAAGCTGTATCGTCAGCAAATAATCGTGCTATGTTTGTCAACGTATCTTGGATGTCATTTATATAGATTAAGAAGGGGAAAGGTCCCAAACAGATCCCTGAGGAATCCCTGACATTAGAGTTGTTTCATGTGATGTAACACCTCTGATGGTTACCGCCTGTTTCCTGTTACTGATGTAGCTTGATAGCCACTTAAGACATGGGTCGTCAATACCGTAGTTTTTTAGTTTATGTATCAGGCCTCTGTGATATACCCGATCAAAGGCTTTTGAGATATCAAAGAAAACGTAGCAGGACAATTTGTGGTCCTCAAACGCAGTGACGACATCGTGATATATTTCAAGAAGTTGATGAACCGTTGAGTGTTGTGGTCTGAATCCAGTTTGCAAGCCATATAGAAGGTTTTTGGACTGAAAGAAATTGTATAGGTGTTGGAATATTATACGTTCGAGAAGTTTACTAACAGTGCTTAAAAGAGAAATAGGTCTGTAGTTTGATGGAACCCATGGGTCGCCCTTTTTGAAGACGGAGATTACATTTGCTATCTTCATTGATCAGGAAATCTTCCCTCAGTAATGGA